ATTTTGTATACAGGTAGCAAAGAGTGTGCTAATAGTGTTAGCCTTTTCCTGTCAGAGAGTATTTTGACCCACTTTTGAGATATGGTGTCCGAAAAGTAGGTCAAAATAAAAAATTCTCCAAATTTAACATATGAGTTATGAATTAAGAGTAGAATTTTCTTGGGAATCCGAATCTGCAAACCAAATTTCGATCCGACTTCCGGTTCCAAAGTTATGGCGTGTACGAAAAGTAGGTCAAAATAAAAATTCGCCAAATTTAACGTATGAGTTATGAATTAGGGGTAGAATTTTGTCAGGAATCCGAATCTTTAAATCAAATTTCGATTCGACATCCGGTTCGGAAGTTATGACGTTTTGAAATTTCGGAAAATCGATCTGATTGTATCCTGATAGAAGGTCAAGGAAAAAAGATTTTTTTGAAGTGTAAAATACGAGATATAGATTGAGTACAGCTTAAGATAATGAATTCCGATAAAAGAAGGGGACCTCAAAAGCTACCTAGTTTCAATATTTGAACACCAAAATGCCTAGGTCAAAATCTAGGTCAAATTCATAGTTTTTCCTTATTTTTTCGATTCTGGCACTACACTTTTAGGATTTGCTTCAACATTTTGTATACAGGTAGCAAAGAGTGTGCTAATAGTGAGAGCCTTTTGCCGTCAGACAGTATTTTGACCCACTTTTGAGATATGGTGTTCGAAAAGTAGGTCAAAATAAAAAGTTCTCATAATTTAACTTATGAGTTATGAATTAAGGGTAGAATTTTCTCAGGAATCCAAATCTGCAAACCAAATTTCAATCCGACTTCCGGTCAAAAATTCCTACTTACCTACCTACTTATCTACTCGGCTACCTACTTAGCTACCTACTCAGCTACTTACTCAGCTACCTACTCAGCTACTTACTCAGCTACCTGCTCAGCTGCTTACTCAGCTACCTACTCAGCTACTTACTCAATTACTTAATCATCTACTTACTCAGCTTCCTACTCAGTTACTTACTCAGCTCTTTACTCAAGTAAATCAATCTGGAGTCTTAAATTGAACTTTGTTCAATTTACCAATCTAGTTATCTTATGGATTTGTTATCAACTGCATGAGATTTTTAATGTTTAGAAGAACATGGGGCAAAACGGCCCTCAATATTAAATTTTAAGTAGTCAATTCCGTATGGGGTATTTTCTTATCAATCAATCATCGCGCATTTTGATGTTCCACTTTATCTATAGGTTGTGGTTTTCATTTTCCTAGTGTTTTAAAATTAACTAAGATTACCTCAATAATGTTGAGAGTGAGGCAAAAAATTATATTTGAAAATTAATTGTTCTTGTACATTTAGATTTTTGTGTATTATGACTTTTGTGGACCGTTTTGCCCCACAGTTCAGTGAATGTTTAAATAGACGTCATTTTTATTTCCCTAATATTTGAAGCTCAAAATTTTGAGAAATAAAGAATAATTATGCATATTCTATGTAAAATGTTAATTCAAAACGATTATCTGATCTTGCCGGATTTTTTAGAGAAAATCAAGGGAGGGGTAATTTTTTGTCCCACAGGGCCGTTTCGCCCCATGTTCCCCTAAAGAGAACTTCAATGCTGCGCAAATATTTGGTTTGAAATTTTAAAGCAATATGCGCTTTTAAAATAACCATTGTGGTTTTTGGCAAATATTCCATTTAAATTTCTAGGATATAACTTAATAATAATGTGTCGAGCGTATTTCTAATATAATTTGTTATTTTATTTATAATTATGTTTTAGTATTGTTGGTGTGTGTACTCTGAGCGTAGACGTTTGATTTGGGTTTTAAAAGGTCAAGTTCAAATGTTGTAATCCTCCTTATATGTAAAACCTTGTTTTGTAATTTCACGCAAGCATTAGGTGAAATATGCTTTGATACGACGTCAGATACTGTACATCACGGCGTAACAGTGCAATTGTTCATTTTACTGATAAAATGCAAAGATTTACGCGATAAATATGCGCAATGCTCCTCCAAGTAATTGCAAACGTTTTAATATTCGTGGAATCTTCTTAAAAACTTCAAGTTTTGTTCAGATTAATGTGCGCTTCAATACAATTCTATATTCAAAAAGGTTGTGATACGATATACATAATTAGAATCACCAGAAAGTAGAGATTTCAAACCCTACCCGTTTTCTTCTTTGTCGCGCTTTTCGGCCCTGCGCTCTCGTTGTCGCACCGTCTTTCTAGACTCTTTCACAATGCCGCTTGTCATATTCAACTGATAAACACAGACGGGAAGATATTAAGGATTGTTAAATGCATTATTTGTAATTTATTTTAACTCGAATATTTAGTTTTATTTATTTAAAGCAATGAATGATAAAGGAGAACATATAATACGCTAACGGCGTAACGTCTTATTTTGTAAAGGCTTCACTTGGGGTTGCGGGGATAAAACGATGTCTATCTCAATATATACTGGTTCAAATTAAATGAAATTAATTCTATGTAGTAAGGGGTATATTTAAAAGAAAATGCTGAAACATTGGAACGTTTTGAATGTTTATCCCTTAATTAGAAATATTTGAACTCAAAAAATGAAACGTAATTTTGTGAATTTTTCACATGGCTTCACTTCATATTTCCTTCAATTTATACTTCTTACAGACTGAATTTTAATCGAAATGATATAGTTTTTTGATAAAAATATAGAATATGATATGCCTTTCAGGAATCAAAAAAGAATTATTCACCTTTCAAACGATTTAATGTTTAATTGATCAAAATATATATCTTGTTGGTACGAAATTCTGCCTGTCGACACTTTTTTGCATAAATATAAGCGTTAAGGTAGCATTGTTATATTATGACGTCATCACACAGAATCTGTTTGTCTTTTCCTAAATGGTGAATTTAAATATTGTGAAAATTTGAGAAAGATCCGTTGGGAAATGAAAAAGTTATCTTCATTTTTCGTTTAAAATTAAAATCACTTTTCTTCAAAATGTTACAGTCGACACCCGGTTTTAGCATAGAAAGTCGCATAATACGGCTTGCGTGATTCTCATTTAAAAAGTCTCAAATCAGTTATTTGGAATTCTTATAGACAAAATATTTCATGGACATACGTGTTCAACTGATGACGAAAAATTGTAGAAAAATATGATTTTGCTGTCGAGATATTGCGGTTTTAAAAGTAAGTACGCATTAAAAATGCAGTAAAATGCCGCGATGTACAGTATCTGACGTCGTATCTTTATGATCTTATATTAATTAATTTGTGCGTCACCTCATATGATGTTATCATGTATATGTTACACATTATATATTGTAATAAAATTGTATTGGTATACAATATCCTTTGTTTCATTCTCATCTAGTGTATATTGCTTCCTAGTGTACCAGATTAAACTCAATTCGGATGTGCGAACATTGTAATTATTTTTCATTTATTCCTTGATTAGTCTGAGGTTTGCGCTCTTATACCAAATACTCAAACATTTTTATGAAATGCTGATCAATAAATCCTGGAATATGAAAAATATTATTTGGTTCATTTTCAGGATTGATTGGAGCGTACTTAGCTATAGTCACTCAGATAGAACTTGAATTTGTGTCCATGTTTATGAAATCATATTCATAAGGGTACTGGGAGGTTTTGGATACAGGGAATATCCCGAGGGATATTACAATACATATTCCCGAGGGCGACCTATTCATTAACAAATCGCAGTCTGTGATGTCCCTTGCGATCGGTCGCAGTGAATATCATATGCTCACAACGTAATGTATAGTAATGTCGTTTATAAACGTGCCATATTATTACGCCTCTACTGATGAAATGAATACCATAATGATGACGTTAATCCTGAAACATGGGGTGCTTTCTTTCCAAGCTGGCTTTCTTTTTAGAGACATTCGTCTACAAAGCAATATCAAGAGACTTGAAGATATACAAAAGGAGAACCATATCCTATTTGTGTTACTCCCTTGATCAGCTAGTTGTGAACAAAACAATTCCGTGTTGCATGTCAATACCATTTTTTTATATTTAATTAAAATTCACAAGTTGGGTACATAAGAACTGTAGGGATGCGGTGGGGAATGGGTGGCAATTTTCAAATCGTTCGACGTAGCGTATATTAATGTGCATGTATGCTATCAAATTGTCAATATACAGGGTGGGCAAAAAACGCCACTTTTTTTTCAAAATGCTATAACTTTTTCAATTTTTGATATAAAATCATAATTTGCATACCAAATGAAACTTGAGGTTGTTATCTAGCCATGGATCATAAATTATACAGTTTCACTTGAATAAAATATGTCACCAGCGTCTCACTTAAACATGTGGTTTTCATGAGAAATAAGCATAATTTGCAAAATGTTCCTGAACTGATACGGCCTGATGATCGCCAAGCTAATAGCCTTGATGCAAACCCCAGTGAGTATAGGGTATGGGAAGGTCTTCATGAGATTGTATGAAGGCACCTAATCTAGAAAATTGCTCAATTAAAGCTGGGAATTTAGACAGGTTGGAAAAAACTTAGCTAACATTTCATTGATACTGCAATATCAGCAAGGCGACTAAATCTAAAATATATCATCGATTAGGGTGGCGAACCAATTGAACTCCCCTTTTAGATCAAATATAATCCAAGTTGAATGACTTGTTACGTTACATTATTGCTAAGAACCCTTGGCACTATATAACTGCAAAATTTGAGGTATGTAGGTTGGAAAATAAAAAAGTTGCAGTGTCTTGAAAAAAGGGGCGTTTTTTGGCCCACCCTGTATGTTATAATTTTGAATGTTTAGTCAACTGTGAGAATAAAATAGTATAATAGTAAGAACTTCTCAATTCATCTGTTTAAGAATACGTATTCGATATAGGCAGCAATGATAAAAAGTGAGATGCCTTCCCATTTTACCGCAAAGTACCCTTAACTGAGTTGTCAATCAAACATAAACATAGTTCGACCCACAAAACTCCTTATTTGGCATAAGGAAACATTTATGTTGATATTTCTAGATAAACGCAGGTCCGATACACGAGCTGGAATGGAAAGATCGCGAGAAGAAGCTTCAACCATATGATGGCTTCATGAGGGTCATCGCCTATTACCCAGATGGTGCAGTTGGGAAAAGTTAGTGATATTGTAAAGAACGATATATTCACAATGTAATGTGGAAGTTCGTGTTAATCCATATACTTCCAGTGGACTGATCTATTTAATGGGCCAAAGTTGATATTTTTTTTAAATAAATTAATTACAAATCGGTCTGACCTCACATATCAAAAAGTGATTAATTTGTTTAATTTTATACTTGATGAAAACTTTAATATGTTGAATCCACCTTCGTTAAGGATTGTTTTGCTTGGTTCTCTGTGGTTATAAGAAAAAATCATTAATATCTGCCCTCCTGATTTGATGAGACGAAAATGCTTTGTTTCAAGAGATCTGCTCTCAATCTAATCGCCAATTAAAAATGATGACTATTAGTTACAATTAAGACATTTCTTTCTTTAGATGTATGCTCTTCTAAAACCTCGAACAACAGAACAATCAAGTATAATTATCTCAGTGCGTTCTATCATTACGTTTACCTTGATATAATATAATGCTTCCCGTTCGCCAGAGTAACGTTTTGTTTTGACATCCTAATATTTATTGTGTTTTGGTTTCTCTCTTTTCTTAAAGTAATCATGACCCTAATTGATCGCCTTTACAAGAACTATACCTTACTACTTAGTATATAGACTAAGTGGTTTCACAATGTCGAAGTATAAATAATTTCTTCAGAAACGCAATCGTCACTCTAGTTTCTCCTATATCAGGTTATCGCAGACGAGCCATGAAGTCCACTTTGATCATGAACGCTGTTTATTTTTCATATAAGATATTTTATCAAAAGGAAGAATTTGGCATACAAAACGTATAGTGGAAAATGGGAAAATATGTGTGATGTTTACTTTTGAAATCGGTATTTAATTCAAATCCTGCATTGCATGTAATATCCTTAATTTTACCTTATTAAATTATTTTATTTTTGACAATTGTATTGTAATTTGTAAATTGTAATTTTATTTTTGACAATTGTAGCTCGATCTGCATTAGCATTGAGCAATGGAGGTTTAACAGCGCATGGCTTCCATAATATGGATACCTATATTTTGTAGCTATAGAATATAATCCTTTAATGAAAGAATATTTGAAATCATATCTCATTCTATTTGTACACGCATTTATCTTTTTCAGAATATAAGATATTTGAGAAGATCGCTGACTCAATTTTCCCTCATGTTATATTCTACATTGTCACAGATTCAAAGGTAAAATATAATCTCTGTAATATTATAAAACTAATTTACTTCGTTTTATATTCATATAGTCTATTAGTGCCACTGGTTCATATCTAAATATACAATATTATACAAATATTTAATTCTATGAGATGAATACCTGTGTGCATCTTTCACAAGTGATATTCCTCGAAGTGTGGATGGCTACTGGAATATAATAATCTTGTGAAAGTGTCACACGTACTCACCGTAAATAGAATTAAATATTTGTTTTATTATTCACTGTTATATTCCTCACTCGCATTAATTGAATAACAAACTATTGATGTCCACTTGATCATAACAATGTACTCCCGGGTATATATAGAATTAAAATATTACTGGACCAAGTTGGACTGGTAATATCCGTTGAATATCGCTTGCTATTTCTTAGTCACGTGTTGGAATGGACTAATCAGAGAATGAGGAATATGACAGTGATATAATAAATTAGAATACACTTAAGGACCCGATCCGATGCCGGCTGATGTACTTTATACATGTTTTATAACGTAATTAGTGCATGTTATTTGAGATGTAAATGGTATTGACTCATTTTATATTCGTTACATAGGATTACAAACAGAACGTGTTTTTATATAATAGGAGTTTCGACAAGATAACAACGTTCTATGTTTTAAGTAAAATTCTTTCGAACGTTTTTATGAAGGAGGGGTATCAGCTATGTTTCATTAAACTAGATTTTATTTTACATATTATTAGCGAGTGACATGTAATAACTCAGATGCGAGTAGGTAGTTACAAGTCTCACCACCAGGTGGCTCATTCGGGCCAAATAGCATGGCGGGTATTATGGAAATTTCACTTTAACTCAATATTCATTGATATTAGAAGTTCAACTTTTATATCACCCTTATGCATCTAATGGTTATGCAAATTAAAATATGCTCAGTAAAAGAAAATGCCCAATATAAGAAAATATATATTTCACTTTTTGTGATTTTACAACATGGGGAATCTCCCCGAACTTGAAGTCATATTTTCAACAACAAAAAAGTTTTCAAACTTGATAAACAATTTTCGAGACCATATTTCTAGATGTACTGTTACATGTAGATTTCAAATATGACATCATTTTTACTGGATTTTGAATATTTAGTGACGTAAATCGAGATTATTTCTACTCGCATCTAGTCTATTGGTAAGCTCTTATTCTGCCCTCACTGCACTATATTGCAGTTCTGAATTCAAAATCCGAAGTCATATTTTGTAAATGTTATTTCTTACAGACTGCTGGGAAACTTAAAATTAAAAATGAAGGAGGCATTATTTTGTACAGGCCGTTTGAGACAAAGCCGATCATTTGCCCCGATATCAAATTAGTAAGTGAACAATTTCAATTACGGTGAGCTACACTAATCTATTAAGTAAATCCGAAGGAAAAATGAGAACCAGTTTTGTTTGACTGAGGGATTACGAACCATTTGGTCAAATTATTTAATGGAATCATTGAATTTAATATTGCTCTTTGAGTTTTATATTCTCAGTATGCCTTTGTCACCGTCAAAGACCGCATTTAGGTCAAGGTCATCTCAGCCCCTTAGTACGAACGTCGTTGATCGATGGGTCGAAATTGTTTTATTGCGGTCATATCTTTTTCAGAAGTCCGACAACAACGAATTTGTCGACTTTCTGACACACGAGTTGCGTATTTCCCCACACAAAGTGACGCCGATGGTTGATATGAACACATTATGGGTAAGTCTGATGGATGATGCAGACCATAGGCCCCGGAAACATGTATAAAAAATCGAGTCGACATGTTCCCGGGGCCTATGATGCAGACGTGGTGTCTCTGACAAATGTTAAGTCATTGTAGTAATTGACAACATTACTATTATATTGCATTATATTAATTTTTAGGCCACGGTATACGAATTCTACCCAAAATATGAAAAGGTTATTGTACAAAATGGTATAGAACTCATAAAATTCTATTGTACAAAATGGTAAAGAACGCATATAAAATTGTACAAAATGGTATAGAACTCATATAATTCTATTGTACAAAATGGTATGGAACTCATATTATTCTATTGTACAAAATGGTATAGAACTCATATAATTCTATTGTACAAAATGGTATAGAACTCATATAATTCTATTGTACAAAATGGTATGGAACTCATATAATTCTATTGTACAAAATGGTATGGAACTCATATATTTCTATTGTACAAAATGGTATGGAACTCATATAATTCTATTGTACAAAATAGTATAGAACTCATATAATTCTAAACCTGTTGGTTTAGGCTTAACATGTACGTATGTAATTCAACAACCACACCTGCCTCCTTATCGACATAACATATCAATCAATGGTTAACAGATCACATTGCAATCTTGATATTTAACTTAATGGGTATATCATTGTCGAATCTGATCATGTTTTGTAGTACGATAGCAGAACCAGGGAGCAAGTGTTCATCTTGGCATCAATCCCAGATACTGAAGATGGGAAGCGAATATTTGCTCAGTACAAGAAATTAGTGAAAGCAAACTCGGACCATGAGTTATTTAGATTCGTCTGGATTGACCCCCAGGAATTGTATAAGGTAGAAAATAATAGTTAAATTTGGGTATAATATTCCCATTTTGAAATGTTATCAAAATCAAGGGCAATACTAAATACTATTAATATTTGTATTGGCGATCATGATCCTAAAATTCAGACTGGCGCAATCAAGCTAACTGTCAGTCATTGAATTACATCGGGTATATCCTATATTGATCCCATACGTGTAGTTTAAAGTCTCAAAGATTCGATTTCGTGAATACATCGTATATTTTATTCTAATACAGATTCCTGAATTGTGGAAAAAGCAGTTTGATGGTATTAGTCACCTAACTCCACAGATAGGTCTCATGAACTCCACTTACCAAGAGGTAAAATATGTATTGTTAACGCAGGTTCTATGTATGAACAATAGATCTCGAAGCCATCTCTTTAATTTTCCATTGGAAACAATATTTTGTAATTTATATGAGAAATTAACAAAAATAGCAATTTTAGTAGATCGAGCATTGTGGGAAATACCAGACATAGTAATATGTATTCAAAACGTTTAATCGTTATTAAAGGTCGTAATTATTTTAGCACAATTTCTGTCTCTTTGCAGCACTACAACAAATGGTTCAACATTGATATTCTTACTGAAGATACGGAAGAAGGAGTTACAGAGGAACAAAGAAAGACGGCCCTTCAAAAATGGCTTGATGGAATGGAGAATATCATTCTAAAGCAGCGAAAAAAACAAGCTGACATTACGAAAGACGAGTTGTAGCTATTAGTTTAAAGTATCAGAAAAAGAGATTGAGCGTAATAAAATGCCAAGCATTACCGAACAATAAAACATTTTAGTTGTTTGTAAACTTTCGATATGCCAAACGTGAATAATTCGAAAGCAGATTGAAAAGAAATGAGATTTGTGTCTAAATGATGAAGACCTTTATAGATGTAGCCATCATACACTTGCATTTTCCACTTCTTGATCAAATCTAGAAAAAACCTAATAGACGTATACTCATGATCATACCTTCATGAAAAATGAAAGAGAAGAAAAAGCGCCGAAGAACGTTGGCAAATATTTTTTTGACATTGGATTATTTTTAGAAGTAAATCAATCACTTGGGTACATTGAGCTGGTATTGTTAACATGTTTTCCAGGAGCCGTTCTGAATTTTTTGGGATTCCTTCATGCCTTCAAAATTTAAGTAGCCTTGTTTATTATATTATATCTCTTTATTACCCATTTTAAAAATATTTTAAAATTAACCAAAAACAACGACACAAAAACTCATCTAAAAATCTAAGACAATAACAAAAACACACAAAAACAACAAAAACAATCCACATCTAAAATGTCAATGACAAGTAAGAACGTATCTATTAAAAAATCACAAAAAGTGGTGGAAAGTCACATTTCTTTAAAAATATTTGCATCACTCTAAAATGGAGTGGTACAGTAAGATCAATATTTAAAAGTTCCACAACAGTTCACAAGAAAGGTAGTAGAATTGCCAAGACTTTTGAATTGTCTGTAAAACATAAGCTAGAGAGGCCTTTCACTGATACACAGAAGGGGTTTTCTCGAAAATCCTTTTTGAACGACTCTACAATAAATCCTTTCTGAGAAGGGGACGTCTCATTTAAATGTAGTCTGGTAAGAAACACTTGTTTCGCCAAATGAGTGTGCTTCAGATGCACTGGCGGATATGGGGGGGGGGGCCCAGGGGCCCGCCCCCCCCCCCCTTGGGTGGGCCCAGAAAAAGAAAATTGTGCCCAAAAAAATTTTTGAGCCTAAAAAGGCTTTAAGGCCCCAAAAAGTAGGCCTTTTTGGTCATAAATTGGCCTTATAAGGCCTTATTTGTTAATTTTAGGCCAAATTTTGAAGAAAATGGGCCTCAAAATTTCAAAATTTGGGCCCACTTTTGGGTTTATGGGGCCCAAAATTTTTTTCTCAGACCACAAGTTTGGGCCCCCCCCCTTGTTGGTTCCCAGATCCGCCCCTGAGATGTATATAAGGCGTCCTAAAAAGAGTAAGTTTTTACTTTCTATCATTGATTCAATGTTTTTTAGACCAAGCATTCGTAAGGTTAAGTCTGTTTTTGTCCATTTGGATTGGTCTTGCAACGTTTTAGTGATGAATCTGAAACCTGAGGGCTGAGGGCCCGCCCCCCTTGTGTGGGCCTTTTTGGTCATAACTGGGCCTTGTAAGGCCTTATTTTTTAATTTCAAAAACATTTTCAAAATTTGGGACCACTTTGCAGTTTTAGGGGCCCAAAATCTTTTTTCTCTGACCTGAGATTTGCCCCCCCCCCCTTGTTGGTTCCCAGATCCGCCCCTGCCTACTAAACTGGCAAAGCTCGAGCTTAAAGTTTGGCAAGCCGTGATGACTTTAACTTTAGCAGAAAGTGTGGAGCTATAAAAGTTTCCCAAGTGTTTTACTTCGTTAATTCGTTTTACGTCTGATTTGGATAGGACGAGATCTCTAGAATTGAAGGTAATTATTTAACATAATAATATGACGTCACAACATACTCCTTGGTATTTGGCGGATTTTTTTGAAAACTGGAGATGAAAAATATTTTATCGGCCATCATAATTTTACATGGTAATGTATTCGATCTAAAAGTAAGATTGATTTGTATTGCTTGATAAATGTGTAGGATTCTGAGCTGTATAATTACATATCTTTCGTACATAGTTGCAAATGGAAATGATCGGGAATAAGGATCATGATACAGAAGACGTAAATGTAGAACTTGATCGATGTTCTGTCTTTCCAAAAAGAGAATTTTCTTTGACCTTTGGCCTACAATGAGAAAGAAGTAATTTTGAGTGAAAGAAATGTCACGTTGTTTTCAAGGTATCAAAATCCATAAGGAATTAACAGTCATCAGAATAGGCATCACTGACAGACTATTTCAAAAACAATGATTTCGTTAGTATTTCAAACTTGCCACTGGGATAGTTGTTTTCATTTTCAGGTGTGACGAATCTGACGATAGTAGCAGGCATAGGAAACGTTACAGCTAACGAACGTCTCCTTGCGGAATTGTTTGAAAATTATGACAATGCAGTTAGACCAGTTAAGAACGCATCGATGCCAATCGTGGAAAAGTTTGGAATTGCCCTCAAACAGATCATAGATTTGGTAAACCTGATATCGAATGGAATACTTTTCCTAATATAGTTCAAACCTAGTAATTATGTATGTTTTATCTATTATTAATGAGTCAATGACGCAGAAAAAATATATTTTGCTTAATGTGCAAATATACAAGGTGAGCCGAAAACGTCAATAGTTTTTGTTAATTTTGCTATCAATCCTAAAATGTGGATGTTTTGGCTCACCCTGTACGTGGTTATATGAAGGAGTGATAAACTTCAAATACCTCTGAGTTTAATATGTATGTAATATGTGCAATTTGACACAGACTCTGGGACAGGGTACAAAGCTTTCTAAAATTGGCCCCATCATGCCTACTTTAATGGGATTCATATTTAAGTTGAGCGGAACACCCGCCACAATTTAAAAGTAGCACATCCCATCCAACTTATCTACTGGTTACGATCTTGTCATGTTAACCAATCCCAATTTAAAATTACAGGACGAAACAAGCCAGATCCTAACAACCAGCGTATGGATGAGGCAGGTATGGGCATTGAATCCCACTTATATGGCCCTGAGGTAGGTAAGGGCATTGAATTTCACTCACATGACCATGATGTAGGTAAGGACATTGAATTTCACTAATATGGCCATGATGTAGGTAAGGGCATTGAATTTCACTCATATGACCATGATGTAGGTAAGGGCATTGAATTTCACTCATATGGCCATGATGTAGGTAAGGGCATTGAATTTCACTCATATGTCCATGATGTAGGTAAGGGCATTAAATTTCACTCATATGTCCATGATGTAGGTAAGGGCATTGGATTTCACTCATATGGCCATGATGTAGGTAAGGGCATTGAATTCCACTTATATGGCCCTGAGGTAGGTAAGGGCATTGAATTTTACTCATATGGCCATGAGGCAGGTAAGGGCATTGAATTCCACTTATATGGCCCTGAGGTAGGTAAGGGCATTGAATTTCACTCATATGGCCATGAGGTAGGTAAGGGCATTGAATTTCACTCATATGGCCATGATGTAGGTAAGGGCATTGAATTTCACTCATATGGACATGAGGTAGGTAAGGGCATTGGATTTCACTCATATGGCCATGATGTAGGTAAGGGCATTGAATTTCACTCATATGGCCATGATGTAGGTAAGGGCATTGAATTTCACTCATATGGCCATGATGTAGGTAAGGGCATTGAATTTCACTCATATGGCAATGATTTTTTCATTTTTGACATTGCGAGGTTCCAGTATGGACAATGGAGAATTGAAGATTTTTTTTATCATTTAGTCTGTTATCAAGAATTGGGGACTAACAATTAGAAGATCTTATTCTCAGCTATATTCAGTTTGATTTTTGTCACATTATTTTTCTTGAACCAAACCTATGTTCACACATACACTTAACTATAGTATTTTATACATGAACAAAATGTTAGAATATTGTATCTTTCTTATGATCGGTTGTCTGCATGTATGTTCTAAATATTAACTACTACTTTAGACTTAAATAAGTGCTCAAATATCAAGCTGGAATAGGTTATAAGAATAACGTTACATTCTGTTACGTTTTTAGTATTGGAAAGACGAGCACTTCATCTGGAATCCGATTGACTATGACGATATTGAGCTTATACATGTACCTTACAAAAAGATGTGGGTGCCAGACATTATTCAATACAACAGGTTAGTGCCTAGTCTACTATGTCACAACTATTAAAATATAACGTATTTACATTATATCCAAACACGAAATCCATTTTGTTCTTCCCACACCACACCAAGCTACACCACACCACACCACTGCCTCTCTATCAATACGAGGTAACCTGAAAATGCCATTTTATTTTTATATAACTTTTTAAAGATATTAGAAGAGACATATAAGTGGTCATTTTTCATATTGTGATGACCATATTATAATGCTTATTACATTGATAAAGTATCGTTTAATTGAGTTGATTGACCTGTCTTGATGAATGCGATCACAATGTTGATTGGAAAAGGTGGAAAAAGTAGTGTGAAACTAACTGAGACACGAAAGCAGGAAAGAACTAATTACAATAGATAGATTACAACGTTACACGGGGACCTGATTAATCTTAATCTTTACTTACACACTCGGGTATACGTATCAAACTTGAAGATTGATAAGATGATAAATTATTTCAGTGCAGCTGATGAAACCAAGCCAATGTTCGAAGATATCGTAGTGTACGTGACGTATGATGGTAACGTGACGTTTCTGTATCCTGCCATCTATCATACATTCTGCGGAATAGAGATACGAAACTTCCCGTTTGACGAGCAGACATGTGAACTAAAGTTTGGATCCTGGGCATATGACGGGCTGTCTCTTGAACTTAGTTTACGCGATCACTCTCCAGCGGATCTCTCAAATTATATTATGAATTCAGAATGGGGTCTTGTAGAAATGACAGCGGAGAGCAACGTCATGCGTTATGGTTGCTGTCCCAACCCGTATTACAACGTTAAGTTCTTCATAACAATCAGACGTAAGCCCAATTATTACGTTTTCTACCTTTTGTTTCCAAACATCATGATAGCGATGTTGACGTGTACACAGTTTTATCTCCCGTGTGATTCGACAGAACGAATTACTCTTGGTAAGTACAGTGAACAAGAGACTCTAATTCAAGCACACAATTATGAAAATCTTACATTCACATTTGATCCCTTCTGCGACGCTAACTTCAATGCGACTTTGACGGCCCATGTTGTAAGTTACCTTCCCAAAAGTTGTTAAAGAAACATGTAGAAAAATAGATTTAATTCATCTACACTTCGCCTAGTTGATTTCACAAATGTATATATTTTAGGAACAACTATATTTCTGTCGTTGACGGTGTATCTCTTGTTGCTTGCCAGACTCTTGCCAGCTGGAGAAGTCATTCCACTCATTGGTGAGCATAATTTGACAATAGCTGTTAAAACTCATCCTCGCACTTGTACGCTCGGTTATCAATATATTTAAACGAAGAAGCCGAGTGGGTGAACACGGTCGCATATCGGCAAAAAAACAAATGAAAAAAAAAAACGGCATCAGGATGTGTGTGAAATCTAGAATAAAATACATACAAGACTAATGCTATGTCCATATAATTAATCTGATCAATATTTACATATTATTTAATTCCAGGAGAGTATTTTGCCATCACAATCGGTCTTGTAACTGCTTCATTGTTGGCGACTTTCGGGATTCTACATATACACTTCAACGGTTCCCATGACAACCACACGGAAATGCCACATATCATTAGAATGATATTTCTTCATAATATAGCTCGATTCATGTGTTTGAGTAAACAAATTACTTCCGATGAGGAACATAAGTCTAAAGTAAGTCTCGTTCTTTCTTTGTCCGAATGTAGAATATTTGAACTGGAAAAGTCAGAAGAATTGCAAAACAATTACCTTTTTTCTTTCCAGAACTTGTTAAGTGATTATATCTATCATATCAAGAGAGAAATAAGCTTGCAAAGAGATACAATTCCTTTCAATTCACATTAACTACTAGAGATGATAGTCTAATGGTAGGGGGTGATCTAATTTCGCTGAACAAGATAATAAAGCCACCGTCATTGTTATGTCATGTTATTTTCAGTTGACGGAATATGAGAGCGAATTGAAACCTGTCCTTAGTACGACTCAAAACGCAGTACTCTCGTCATTCCTGGACATCTCCAAATCAAAGTCGAGAGCGGGTTCCTTACATGACCAACACAGTGAATGTCGTCCAAACGTAACGTCAGTAGCAGAACTTAAGACGGAAATACCAAGGCGACATTCTCTTTCTCCCGAACCAACTACCACGCAAACAGCAATATTAGATAAAAGCCAAGGGGGTGAACCGAGGGCCGCTCACAAAGCCTCCATTGCAGAGTCAATAATATTACATGATTCTAAATCTGAGGAACTTCATATCGAGTCGAAATTGGAGAAAAACTTCTTGCTATCTCGAATCTTGTCAAATATGGAAGAAACCAAAGAAAGAATAAGTGCTGAGGTAACAACAACTTGTTTCTTAAATTACTACGCAATGTCATGATCACCGAACATGCATGTTAGACTACACGTTCTTAAGACCTTGTCCATGAACGTATACATGTAGGATTATGATCCTATAGGAATTAAATCTCCCCCTTCGCAGTATTTACTTGACAGATTGATTAATTATAAATGTATAAAGAAAATTGTTGTAATTAGGTCCCTGGAAAAAAACAATTAAGAGCGGGTAGTAATCCCTTGAGGTTATAATATTATCTGTTCACGTACACCACGTTCTTTTGAAAAAAGGGAGGTTGAGCTACACAATAGGGGCGTTAAGCTACACGTTTTAAAAAGAACATGGACGTATTGTGACCCCCTGCAGGGATTACTATCCTCCTCTCAATATTTTTTTCGGTGATCTTATTAAAACTATTTTCTTTGTTAACTTTATTTTCAATTGGGCAAGTAATTACTACCATGGGGAGATCTAGTCCCTAGAGGACCATAATTCTTCACGTTCACGTACAAATCCTGCGTGTAGCTTAAGCTCCACATTCTAAGAGAACTTGTACATGAACGTATACAGAAATATGGACCTCTGGTGGTTGATTTCTCCCTTCGAAGTATTCACCTGATAGATTGAGTATAAAGGTCTAAACTTTTAATTTAAGGTCCCATGAAAAAAAACAATTGAAAAATGGAAAGTAATCCATCGGAGGCATAATATTACACTTTCGATATTCGCATACAATTTCACTTTAAAACATGTAGGTTAACCTCTCTAATGGGTAGCTAAAACCTCCCTATTATCTATCCTCTGATTCATAGTGCATTTGAGTGTCATATAATCATTATTTTGCGTGTTCCTCCTGAATGGATGTTCATGTAAGTCGTAATGAGCCGTTGCAAGATATGACTTCTTTAAATAAAACTTGTTCATTGTCACATAACGAAAATATTACACATGTGTTTCTAAAGCACATGCAACTGTTGAAGTTGACATTCCTGACGTTTTCTTGCAAGTTTTCGAAACTATATAGAAGGACGAAAAATATTGATTCAGTTCGCAACAATATAATTATTATGTGTATACTGTACGTGCAGCTGTTTGTCATTAGCTTGGCTAGCTACCTGAGTCTGACATTCATCACGTAATGGTACCTTCCGACCAAGTGTAGTTAAAGAACACAATAAGTTGTCAACACGTTTATCCAATTATGCCTTATGTATTATAAGCTTTCCTTTTCATGCGAAATGTCCGAAATGAAATGTGATCGGAGGGTGCATTTACAAAGAATAGTTTTATCATATATGGAAATGATTACTATTCTAGAAGTGTATTTGAATTTACATGAAAATGAACATTTTTAGCAGATTTTGTTTTTAAAAACAGATTCGTAGTTCTTGGTCCGAAATAATAAGTTTCGTATATAATGTGCTAACGTTTGTATTTTTGACACTGTACGTTGACAATATGTTTGGCAGTCTTAGCCGTTCATTAGAAGTTTCATTGAAAATTAAACTGGTAAGCGAGTGTTAATGTTTAACTGTTTAAGACGATTGTCTTTTTCAGGATAAAGACAATGAGGTGAAACTGGAGTGGCAACAACTTGCGATGGTTCTCGACAAACTTCTCCTGTATTGCTTCGTATTTATTATGCTGATCGCCACCATCGTCACATATGGCCAAGTACCAAAATATGAGAAGCCTATCCTTAAGTGAACCTATTGTATAGGACTGATAGCAGTTTGGCTCCTATTACTTTCCTTCTAATAGATTCCTCAAATCACTTGCAATTAGCTTTTTCGATATGTTGTACTGGCCATTTTGAAATAGACTAAAATTGATTTAAGTAGTTTTATCTTTTTTCATTTATATTTTACTGATTTTAAGTATATGTACACGAGTCGTGATGCTATAATATTGCAATATTTGTGAAAGGGATTCCATTTTACAAAGGTGATTTAAATGCCAATATTGTAGTTTTATCCATATTATAACATCAGCGTAATATTTCGATGGTATTAATTTTTTTCCATACACACCAAAAGCTGAGTGCTAAGATGCGGATAAAATGCGGTACGATACACAACAAAGCCTGGTGTGTTTTCTGAAACTAAAACAGCTTGTTTTTTTTCATTTCAGTTCAGAGTTGTTGATCAGTGCTTTCAGATATCAATTGAAAAACGAACCCATCATGCATTTCGTAATGGTCTCTTATTATGTTATTGTTATATATTTCAATCATGGTCCTTGCTGCATCGGCATCAGATTTATTTACAATAATATTAAAACTATAATTGGTCTCTCAGAGACAGTTATGAGGAGATACTTAAAAACAACAACAACAACAACAACAACAACAACAACAACAACAACAACAACAACATCTGTGACTCCTGCCTATACACTTGCAAGATAGCCTACCTACGCCTCATGGATGATTCAAACGCTTTTAATGTTACTGCAATTGTGTCCTCTCTATGCACACTACTAGTACTGTTATTGCTAGTAACTGTACTAGTAGTGTAACTGGGCCATTTGTTAATTGTAAGCATTTTGTAGGGGGATATCATTTCTTGTCTTAGCTATTTCTGCCCAAGGCATTTAAAGTAAATAGAAAATAAACGCGTGGATTGATTTCAAAATCATATTTCTAATTATTTTGAATATAAGATTCGACAAGTTGATTATCCCAGTTTAAAGTATTAAGTTTGTTAAAATGTTAAGCGATAATACAGCGTTAATTCATACTAAATATTATTATTATGCGATCAAATAGGTGGCGGTAGATCCTAAGCTTTTCATACAAATCTTATTATGCCTTTATTAACACAAAACTTATCATGAATTTCACTCTGAATATAGTATGGGAAAATATTCAAGTCAAAGCAGGGTTTGAAGTCACGAGAAGGGCTGTTATAAGTTGACCAATATTATCGATTGTTATTGTTGTTTTTTCTAAATTTACTTCTACTTGATTTGTGTACATTTTGTGAAGAAACGGACTGAACGTAGACTCGTTTCAATTGGTTTAAGAATAAACTCATTTTATTTTGTTTAAATATTGCACTACACTAATACTAGCTTTCGTTGGTTTACATTGCGTCCATGGCAACGGCCATTCATTGAAAGGTGGCCCATTGAAAGCTAAGAGCTGTACAAAAATATTAGGCTTAGTGTATAGGCTGAACACTTGATGAACAGTTTATAAACACAATAAAACAGATTATCATATCCTCAAAAAGATGAATTGAAGAAGAATAACATAGCTGAATCTGAATTTCTGAAGGTAAGTTGGTTTATATATTCTAATCAGATAATTTTTGGGCATATGACAATCTTAACGCGGAGAGGTGTCATAACTAAGTGGAGATACAAAATTAACATTGAATTTATTTGGTAAAAACGAAGAATTGTTTCAATCTAGTGTCTGTAACATTTCTATTTCGATTTTTATGACAATGGAAAATCACTTTCAACCAATCAATGGATGACTTGTGGGTTTAAAGAGGATTTGAAGAAACAGGTGTGACATGGATGTGCCAAAGTGTGATCATCATTTGTCTGAACCTGGCACGCAGCATTGTTATTACTATATGGCATGGTGATCGTGTTTTATGCTTACCAAGGGCTAGTTATCATGTTATAGTCATATGAATTGGGCAGTCACTCCTGATAACTCCATATTCAGAGGCCCGATTCCTTATTTAAAATTACGCTATGGGCTCCCATCTGTGAAATATTTAGTTAAACATTAACAAGTAAGTTTGTAAGTAAATTTACTTAAATTGACCTAAAGGTATATGTTCTCCTAAAGTAGATAGTGGTTATGGAGATGTTCAAACAATCACAACAACACAATAAGTGATAGCTTTACCATTATCAATTCATTTAAAGTAAGCTAATTATAAAGATTCACCATGTCTCGCCAAACAATCAAAAATAAACTCAAGAAGATGAAACAGTCAAATTCTGAATATGAGAAAGCTCAAGTATTGTTGAACAGTTTAACAATATCCAACCAAAAAGAGAAGGATGTTGATAAATCAAGCTCGTTAAGTGAACAGCACAGGGGAATAGATCAACCAGAGACTGATGAAGCTAAAGATATACATGTAGTAGATGTAGAGGAAGCAATGATAGAGTATGTATAAATGGTAAAACTTGCATATGGTCGAGACCATAATCAAATAAAGACAGTTCATAGGACCTGACCGATAGGAGTATTGGTTGTAGATGGAATTAAGGATACAATCCTTGGCGTGGTGGCAGGTTTGAAATGGAATATACTGTGAGGGGGTATCAACAGTATCGATATTGAGTATACATTATAATATAACATAAATGAAATATTTGCCAATACAATTGTTACTGTGAAATTAATGATTTGATTACAGTTTGATATGTGATTCCTAGTAGGCTTATATATTCTTGAATTCGGATATTGCTACTGTTCCTTTGATTAAAGGGCATTATGACCTGTAAACTCCATGGCATTCTTCCTGTTCGAATGAAGCAATGCTCATTTTATGAGTATGAATATGTCAAAGAAGTTCTTTTAAAATAACAAGTTCGTTAAATGGAATGTCTATAACAAATGGCATGTCTATAACATTCCTAGACAAATAGAAAACTTATAATTGTCATCGATCGATTGTAAGGAAATATATTTGTTCTTCAGTCTAACAATCATCGTTATACTTGTGTATGAGTGTAAGATTTGAGCAACTCTTAGATCCTTTACTAATTTTATTTCACCCAGTACTAGTGGAACAATGTTAGGTATTGATATCACCGTATAAGTCAAATGAACTGCTAACAGATCTTTTGACCATACAACAACTCCATCAATAATGTCAATAGCAATCTTTGAATTCAAATATTTGAACACTTATATAAGTGTGGTGGACAATACACGTCCCCTATTTATATCACGAGAAGGATTTATCCAGTAACTTATTGACATATTATACCAATACATGGCACTCAAATAATTAATGACACAGATAGAGTCACTGGGCAGAATATTATTGATATTTTAATTAATGATGGAAAATGTTATAGAAGTCAATAGCTAGAAAATAAGTAACAGTAATTGTCTGTAACTGACGCTATTGATTAGGTGTAGCATGAATTGACTTAGACTTAGATATGAAGAAATTCGTTTAGTAGTTCCCTTTCCTAGTTCAAAACCTGAGATTTCTTATATTACTGTTCTACTGTAAAACTCAAATGCATTTGATTTATGGTTTCTTTGTGGAGTAATACATTCATCATTCCCTTATAAGGTCATGTCATCGTAAACTCTCTGGCTGCAAGTGGTAAATGGAAACAATTAAATCCAATATTTTCCAAACTTTTTTGTACATACCTTGCGACAATCATTTTCAGCGCTTGCTTAATTTCATAGGTTCATTTCGTGTTATGTCGTAAAATAGCAAACACTAAGAGTTTCTAACGATATCATTATTTCAATTACACAATCTTATTAGTTAGAGAATTATTAATTACTTTTCGTATAGTATTGAGAAAGATTAGAGTTCTGATTGATATAGATTAGATCAAGGAGCGAGTCTCCATGGTTTCAACGAAGGTATGGAATTAGTTTCCATAGTGATCATCTAGTATCATTTTGATCAGATACGCATAACCACAATCTAAAGAATATACTCTGTTTAATTCATACAACCGGATGATAGACGATAGCGGGTGATAGCCATCTCGTTATTTTCCTTCATAAGAAAATAGGATTGATTCCAAGATTTCTTAGAAACTAATTTGTAAATCATGACGGGTTATCGTATGCCAGCGATTGATATGTCACATTTGGAGCTTATGAGGTAATCAGATGATATATATATACAGATATATTAGAAACTATGAGGTAATCAGATGATATATATACAGATATATTAGAAACTATGAGGTAATCAGATGATATACAGATATATAATATATACAGATATAGATATACTGTTAAGACAAGTGTATTGTATTATTGAGTTAAAGGTCAACTGCACTGGAATTAAAGTATTCCTCGTATTGCATGTTAAGCAGATAATACAAACTCATTTTCTGTTATTTCAGAGTTGACGATATGAGTGACAATGACAGTGATGCAGGAAGCGAGGCCCCGAGTGGGGCAGGCAGTGCCTTCGATGTGGATCCGAGCAAACTTATTGAAAACATGTCCGAAAAGGAAAAGAAAGCTTGGGATAAGGGTGCTAAAAAATGGAGACTTTTTATGGATTTTTTGCTCCGCCATGTTGCCATAGTGACATTTAAATACAATACGTTTGAGCAGGAAGAAATGACAGCGTTTCTCCAAGCCATGGAAAAGGCAGAGTACCTTCGTGCAACAGTTCCAGATGTGACGAAGAAGAAGAAAAAGAAACTACGTAAACGTAAGGTCACTCCGGTGACACCAAAAGACCCAAGAGTAAAGACATATAAAGATATGCAAACCGCGGCTGATCTACTCCAGGCTCATAGATTCTATGCCGAGTCGCATCGACTAAGATTTGTTATGGACCTCACAGGTCGGCTCCGGGGACTTAATATGATTGCAAAGGGCTTCTTTAAAGCTTTGAAAAAATGTAAGGTTCCAGGTATAGATAAGTTCAAACATTACCTCGATTACTGGCGAGGATTTACTATACGAACATACGACTACACAGAGGTTAAAATGAAAGGTATAGACCCTGATGAATATAATATTTGGCCTGCAACTATACGGACTGCAATATATTTGGCACAAAAGTTCTTGAAACTGTCCAGTGACAATACAGGACTACAACTCATGACAGAAGACCCCAAAGTATTAAGACAACACATGACTGCTGCTGACTTTACAGTTGCCCAACGAATAGAAGATCTACTCGCTAAGAAAGTTGTTAGTGAATCACAGAACTTCGTTTTAGGTAAGAAAATTCAAAACACATACTAAAGCTGCTTTTCATTCAATTTCTGAAAAATAGATGGAGCTTTATTGGATGGATGGAGTTTTTTAGCAACACGAATCTTACCCAGATATATCATATCTGCATACACCGGCTTGCAATGCAATGGTGCATTTATAAAAAAAATCGGTACAATTCCAGTTAGACTTATTGAATCTATACTGACATCTTACATGGCATTTAACTCGATATTCATGTCAATGTATACTTCAGGTTGACTTCAAGAAAGCCAATACATGCCATGCGATAGACTCCGAACATTTGTAGTGGTGATGCATTAATGATATGTATTTTACAGGTGCTCAATCGCTCCTTGGTCTAGCTCCAAAGAAACCCGAGGATGAGAAAAAAGAAATTGTTGACCCGACAGAGCTTGAAAATATTGATCCAGAGCTTCTGCGACCCATTCCTGATTACGGTAAGCTGGTTTAGCTCAGTTCAGTGTCGATTAGTTCGGCATGTGCATGAACTTTTGTTTGTGATCGTCTTTCTTCCAAAATATTGAACTAATTGCTGCTCAACTGAAGAATTAAAACAATATAGTGGATATTTTTGGGCTCTTTTAAAAAAAATCTCATGTATGGATAAATTCACAAAAACAGTAAAATTGAAAATAAATTTGCCATCGCAAAAAGTGCTGGAATTGTTGATCACACCCGGGACTTATTTACATTATTCATGACCATTGATCAATAACTTTATTTACAGATGTCTTTTAAAAATATACTTGTACAATCCATACATCTTGATCATCAAATGTATTCCATATACTAAGAGAAATGTTTTAATCCAAATGTTTGTTATATTGCAGGTCTGCTCTGTGAACTACCAGAAGAAGTTCCAAAGGAAAAGAAGAAGAAAAAGAAGGGCAAGAAAGGAAAAGGAAAGGGGAAAGGAAGAGGGATGTTCTCATCTGCAAAGAAGAAGAAAAAGAAGTAGACTCATATAAACGTACACATAAACAATAGTTTTAAACTAAAATGATTCATTGCAATATATTATTAGTATACATCATGGATGATGGATGATGATCCCATCGATCATTTGGAGTATCATGTTACCCACGATGAATACAATTCATGTAAAGTATGTGCAACACCACCCGGGGATATACTATACAAACGCTATATTAACTATGGATGGTCTAAACAGTACTACTTAAATATGATTTATTATGTGTTATTAATTATAATTGATTTTTAAATGTCATATTGCACAAATGCCTGATGCAACAGATTACTGTAAATGGTAAATATGTATTTTTATTTGCTAATTGTAAATGTTAAATGTTTCGATACACGTGATTGTGTCAATATGTATGTGCTTCTTACTACTAATAAGTATTAAAACTATAATAAAACCGTGCCATTCAAAATTATAACACTTGAATTTGTTTATATCTAATCAGGCTATTCACAAGTACGCTTCAGCCTTTTTTCAATTTTAAAACTGTCATGGGTATATAAAAATAATGAGAATCCCTTCTCGATCGTTTGTTAAAAATCAAAATGAACATCCATGGCTGGGCGGACATACATTTTGCATTGATCAAATGTTTTATCACCATTGAGTCATTATTGCATTACATGATAGTCATTACTTTGCATAGTCATTGCCCAGTTTACTTGCACGTCGGAAGTACGACAAGTTTCGTCTTGAAACTAAAACTAAAAAGAATAGTTATGTAATTGTATTAATTATTCGCAGTTGGTCCGAGTTACTTAAGAGTCATCTAAAGCTTCGTGTTTTGCACAATTTTGTGCCCATTAATATCTACATCTGAGGTCACTTGTGTTGTTCGATTCGTTTCATATAATGGTGAAGCAACCTCTTTGGCTTTATCTGGTGACTCATTTAAGCGAGCCTGCTGCTTTTGATCCAATATCTGAAACATAGATGGGGTAAAATAAAAGAGTAGTTCTATATTCACGTTACACACTTTTTCAGTCAATAGATGCCAGGTTTACAACAGTTAATTCTAATATAGATTTGTTTGCATACCTGTTCATCGTCATACTGTAAAACACTCCGATTTACATTACAGTTAAGAAATCTTTTGATTTTTCCTGGTATTAAACAGCCACACATCCAATCAAATATAGGCATGTGATACCGTGGATCCATATCCGCAGGGTTGTTGAATCCTAAAAAATCTTTAATTAATGATGGGAAGAGATTTGGGATGGGTAAAACTACACTAAATGTCACTCCGACAATTTTTTAATCTAAAGACATTCGACTTTAAGAAAACAATAGTTAAAAAACGATAGCATGCAAAAGTTGAGGAACAAATACATTTTTGTTCAAAAATTGTATTTGTTGATTCAATAGACGTAACCTTTGAAATCGAAAGTGACAATACTCGAATAATGAATTTAATGAATTTACCGGTAATGGCGCTTGCTATCATTCCTACAATTATGGTAGTGAGGAATCCAACACTGGGGAACCAAAGGTATGACAGCGTATAGAGGTTGTTCAGCCCTTCTCTGAAATAACAATACCACTGTGCATTTATATCCAAGGCCCATCTGGAAGCGACCCCATAATTCACCAAGAAGGTTGAATGGCGAAGGTTGAAAAACGTCCCGTTAGATGAATAACCCTTTACTATTCTGTAATTACTATTATGTGAATAAAAATATAAAGTATACTTACGCAGGGGGAGGTAGAGGTCTTGATGGAATAGTTAAATTTAGCTGCCCATAGGTGGCGTTGAAGGTAGTGTTGTATGGGCAGTGTTGGACTGTTGTAGGAAGCATACCCGGACGCCCCCTACCGGACACATAAGCACCTATGCTAATCCACATGGAGAACATTACCCCAATGATGCCTCCAGATACAGCACCCTGTAGTGTATGTAGTTGTTAATATTTAAAACATATGAGCCTGGTCATAGGAAAACCGGTATTATCACAAAAATTTGAATTGTGCTACAGAGCCAAAAATGTGCCCAAGATTAAGAGGAAAATGTGCTAAATTCAAATCCAACTTTTAGGTCTATATATGCAACGAAAATTTGTAAAGACATAAGCCATGGCTCATTTGAAAGGTCTCTTTGTGCTTTCTAAGATAAACAAAAAATCAGAATTTTGAAAAAATCTGTGATAAGACCCATTTTCCTGTGGCCTGGCTCATATAGTACTTGTATATATGAATTTGAGTTTCCTTAATGCTACATGTACCTGCATACAAGTGAATCTTTCAAAATCATGAGATGTATTCACTTGGATTTGATTTAAAACATTTGATATTATCATATTTAAGGGGATAAAACAAGAGCCTTATTTGTCCAATGTGTTATTTCACTTTTCATTAAAATCTTTTCACCTGACGAATTCAATGTTTGTACACAGTACGAAAATCCGGGGATTTATCTCAAATTTTAGAGGTATAACTTTGCCGAATTTGTTCAAGCTACATTAAATTGAATTCATGGCCGTTTGCAAGAGAGTTACACTAACAATCCAGTTGGACCACGGAAAGACAGCTCCTAAGATGAATATGCCTAGTAGAGCGCCTCCTGCTGACCCACTGAAGCTCATTGACGCTTGGACGACAGTGCCTCCCAAACCAGCTGCCATATAAGCCATTCCAATTGACAATACTCCAAATATTACAACTGCAATAAAAGAAACATGTTTTATCAAACATACGAGGGACTGATAAATGATGGATGATTAAACGATAAATTTTACATTCCATACACAATATTTTACTTTACACTTGGTAAAAAAGTAAAAATAATATAGAATAAAATGTTTAATATACTGCCAAATAAGTTGCATTAAGAGAGAATCGTAGAGAATATTTTTAACCTGTATAATAGGCAGTTATTTCTTTTATTATAACGGAAAAAAATATAATACGTATTTTTAAGAATTATTTTTGATTTAATAATATTATTCGTGTATTATTTAAAGGGAACAACATATAATGCCAAATAATATAGAATAATATTCCTGTCAGGAGCAAATAATATGTTGGCATTTGCAATCAAAAACATATTATACGCGGTTATTTTCGAGCCGTTAATCCCTAATTATTCAATTCCTATGAAATGAGTTTCATTCATACTGATAATTAATCTGTTTGTTAGGGTTCATGGATTAATCTCTACAGCCGATGGCTCTTAATTCCACAAAAATAATTTGCAAAATAAGTTTTTACATACATATTTGATTGTATAATGTCCCTCATGTTATAATTAACATTGTGTTAAATTTTTGATTCAATCAATTAATTCATTGTAAAGTAAATTTTTGAATTTTTAATTAATTTGTTTTCCTCACATTTTTAATCCATTGTTTCTCTGTCACATTAAGTTTATAGCAAACAGCATTTACATCGATCTCTCTTACACAGGTACAAACAACCACCTGTATTCACTTTGCCAACCGGAAAAACAGTCATGACAGGGAACTGCTCAATATTCAATAAACACATTACGCATTTTATACAAACCTGTAGCTAAGGACCCCCTCCCCGTGGCCAACAATTCTGTCAAAATCATGTAGTTTTTCACCATTCACATACATGTATTGACATTCCAGAGCAATATAATAAGTTAAACTTTAATCCCTAATTATTCAATTTCCATGATTTGAGTTTTGTTCACACTGATAAATAATCTGTTTGTTTGAGTTAATGGATTAATTTCCACAGCCAATGGTTCAAATTTCAACTGAAAAATAAATTGCAAATTAAGTTTTTCATATTTATTTGATTGTATAATGTCCCTTATGTTATGATTAACATTGTGTTAAAATTTGGATTTAATTGATTGACTCAACGGAAAGTTAATTTTTAATCAACGGGTTTCCTCACATTTTTACTCTATTGGGTTTCCTTACAATTTAACTCAATTGTTTTTCTGTCAAATTAAGTTTACAACAAACAACACTTAAAGCCCCCTCTTACACAGACACAGACAACACAATTGATTCATTACGAATTTGGTATAGGTCCATGGCCAGGGAGGGGGGGGGGGGTCGTTGGGTTCAAGTAAATCCCCCCCCCCCCCCCCGTTGCCAAAATTCTTTCAAAATCCTACATTTTTTATCAATCTGAGCACTGTTAAGTGATTTCGGGCCAAAATGATCAATTTTGACCCCTTGGTTTGTTTTGAAAATTGATCCCCTGTGCTAAAACTTATTCCGAGCCTGTATTATATTGGATGTACATGTATTGCTCCGATTTCTTCTGGCAAATCGCTGATAATAAATAAGAAAGGTACATTAGGTTAACTGATACAAGTGGTGTTAAGCCATGCTAAAACAAAATTAAAACGTGTATTCTCTCATATTTCACAATTCATGCATTTTCTGTTATCCATATATCTGAGATATAAACTGGGGATAGATTAGTCCATGATGTGATACATTTGTTTCTACTACAATTGGACCATTTTAATTAAAGCTGGTTTTAATTATTTTTTTGTTTTCCATTTCCAAATGTATTAGACAGGTTCCAATTTCAGAATATCTCAAGGGAAAAAGTTTATGAGGCAATTTTTAGAAAAAGCAACAGACCTATTTTTTCTGGATCAGTTTTTCATGCTGATAAAGATATTAAAAGATGACAGCTCAACGAGGTGGTCACGACACTGAATTTTAGCGTTTTTACCCCCCGAGGAAATTATCTTAGGGGGTACTATAATATTAGTTCATAACTTAAAGGATATATGAACTATTGTTCTGAGTTCTACAGCATACATTGTTAGTACAGAGATGAATACTATCCTTAAGTTATAGGTTGATATCTTTGTTGGTTTCGAAAAAATACAATTTATTAGAAAAAAATATGCAATTTTTGTCATTTTTTCTTGCTTATTTTATATTTGTAGCTTCAAGCAAAATATGATAACTTTAACAGCTCAAAGTAGTATTCTAACAACATTCCCAAGCTATGTGTGATATTGTAATACATCTATTATAGTGATGAAGTACTATTTTGTAATTTTAATATGACTTTATAGTGCCCTACCCCTGGTAAATAGAAGAAAGTTGGTGTGGTTTTCCACTGGTTTTAACATTTTATTGACTTCTTAGTTGAAGATACAATCAATTCTGTCAGTTTACCATGAGTAGCTTTACAATGGTTAACTATTCCCATGAATAGAGGGTTGGGACCTCAAAAATACCAGAACTGTTGAGTGGCATTCTTGGGCATCCCTCTTCAGAGCATTTTCCTTATACTCCGATGAAATCTGCAGGGGATACTATAAGAAACCTATATATCTAAGATACTAATGAAGATACTGAATTCAAATTTTCAGGATTTGGTCCTGGTATGATAGGTAATCTGTATGACAAAAAGAAAAAACTCTGTTGCCATAGTAACAAGAATACCACACTATTTGTTTCCTAAGAAATGTGTTTTAAGAGGTTTTGTCATTCTCTTCATATTTTTAATTCTAAATATGTCTACAATGTAGGATGATTAGAATTATGGTAAAGTAATCTTTTCTATTGTTTTATTGTTCTCTAAAACAGAAGTTGCTATGACGACACATAGATCATAGAAAAAATGCTGGGATGATCGCTCTATTTGTCAGGAAATTAAAATGGAAACTGAAAAATGAGTTTCCTTCCACCGAATAGCAATTAATTTGGTAGACCATGGCTGACACGCACAAGAGAAAACGTTTATCAGTTCTATGTCATTTTTTTTTTTTTATTTATCGTGGTCTGGGACTTATAACACCTAATGCCGAGTCTTCTCCAACTGCAAAGGAAGGCAAGATTTTAATAATGAACATTCATATATCTCAACAAATATGGCCAAAGATTTGGACAATGATGAGGAAACTCTGAGGGAAAATTAGACGAAATATTAATGTGAGTGGTCCAAAAATAACACTAACATGTTTTGGAAAAGTTATGCTCTCGGATGACTCAGTGCTCATTTAAGGATAGTCTGAATCAGGTTAATCAGGTTTTTAACCTAATTGCACCCCTTCCCCAAACCCCCAAATTTTGACTAAATTGTCGAAAAGTAGCAAACAACATTTATTAAAGATCAATATGGCTATTTCGCTTCTATGTCATAAAGATATGATACGATCTCAGGTCAATCAATAAATTTCACAAGTGACACTCTATCTTATGAAGAAAATACTATCGTATTTGAAGACATGTCAAAAATTTGGTTACCCTTTGCATTCGTTTGACTTCACTTCTTAAAAAAGAGCTTCGTCTTCACTCTTTCAAACTAAAATAAAACTGTGAACTCACCGCCCCAATCAGTGTTCGTCGGCCAAATTTGACATGCGCATATTTAATTTGATAATAAAGTCAATCGGACTCGTAGATATTTCACTAGCAATCAACCCATCAATATATTTTTTTAAAGTTGTTGACCTCATTTTCACCAAAAATGGAATCATTTTAACAATGTTTAATGCATTACTATTCTTTATTTTAATGTATCAAATAGCTCTTGAAAAGAAACTGAATTCCCCTAAGATTAGTGTTCCCCATGTTATTTCCCCTTTGAAAAAATTCATGCTGTCCATTGGTTTCAGTTCATTTTGGTCATCCAAATTCAGTGTCTTTAAAGTCCCTGGAGCAATCCACTTTTCCTCTTAGGAAATAGAACATGTCTCAAAGCATATTTTAATTATGCATCCAACAATATAATTAAAGGTTGCATCTTTGGTAAAAACTAGGTCATCATTTTTACTAAAAAGTATGTTGATTGGACCATTCCCTTTAATATCAGTCAGGTCTGATTAATCATTATATTTACTCTTCTTGAAGATAATGAATAGATCTAAAAGATATACCAATGTTCATGGTCAGAAAATATTCATAATTCAAGTTAGAATTGACCTTTTTTATATAAATGGAAAATAGATGGCATCAAGAAGTTATTCCATTTGGATCAACTTAAAACATCATTGGAATGTAACTATATGAACTTATTGACATGTGGATTGTGATTTCACATTAAAATTGTGATCCTTGTAAGAGTAAATGAACTTTTAAAGGTTTTTCAGCATTTTGTCAATGGGGATTTAGCCCGACCTTTTTTAGACAACCAGAAAATCATTAGAATTTGAATAATGGTAAATAACAGTGAAAATCAAAGTTGTTTTGATAGAGAATTACTCACAGAATTCAAATATGCCATCAGATGGAAGAAAACGTTAGTTTTTAATGGTTAAAAATGCTGATCTCCTAAAATCTCATTAAAAACAAGACCTTAACGAGATTTCAAAGCTATATGGAAAAAGGACCATTTTCTGAAGTTGTTTGCGATAACCTACATGCTCCTTTATAACATTATTATGTAAATACTATCAAATGCTTTAGTCATGACAATTGAAGTAAACTGAAGTCTTGGTATTTAAATGCAGAATCAGATCTATGTAAACAAAATTGAAAGCAATTGAAAGTACAATCTCAAATATAATATCTCCCAAAAGATCCACAATATATTATTTATTGGTAATGTTGTTTAAAATTCAAAGTGTAAAAAGGGAGAAATGTTCAAATTCTCCCAAATAATAATAAATAAGTTACACTAAGTTATACAAGTGTGAGGCACCATCAGTGGGAAAGTCATCTTTGGTTAATAAAAAAGATTCTTAGCTACTTTTCTAACATATGGCTGTGATGC